CTTGCTTTACGAACTATGGAACTTTCAAAAAAATATTATTTACACAAAATTGCAAAAAATTTGATTGAAATGTGAAAGTTTTAGAGGCAAAATGTTTATCTTATTCATTTATTGAAACTTAGCAGGCCTAAAGATTGCTCAGTAAATCAAAATTGCAATCTGAAAGTAAAAAACATTGTAAATTTAGTTGGTATTTAGTAGTTTTTCTTAATCATTATTACTTTATTAATTATTAATATTAATTACTTGTTAGAATAAGAAAATTGAGTCTTTGCTCCAACTTTGTGAAAGAAGTGATTCCTTCACACAACATGTTAGGTTTCGTGTTCTTCATTTTAAAATTTTGTCATATTCATATAATTTCGGTGTTCAACTTCTCATCTTCAACTTCGCAGATAATTACGCCATATGACTAAATACATTTTTCTCAACAATGAGTACGTTAATTGCTTTTAGCAACTTTGTTCGTTACCATTTTCCAGTTTTTTTTTGATTTGTCGCTCTGATTTGTATGCATATTCACCTTGAATCGAAATATTATTCCACTTTCTGATTGAGAATGTGATTCTGTGTCGAGGCCATACTTTGCCTACAGATTATTGAAAAAGTTCTACAGAAAATATATATTTTTTTAATATGGGGAGATTTTAATGAACGTAAAAGTATTGAAACATTTTATACCGAGACGCTCAAGAATTGACCATTTGACCGAAGCGGATGAACTGGATTGAACAACATATAAGAACCAATTCACATCGAATTTAATTGAAAAGCATTGAATCATTTATCCGATTTTAACAAAAAATATTTTTTTGGAGAACTTTGATCATCAATAGCATTTGTTTTTCTTAAAGGTTTGAACAAAATGTCTTCATTTAAAAAAGAAAAATAAAATGTTATTATTGTAATGTTTCTGAGTGAGTAAAATGGTTCTTGAGTTCATCATAACGACCTTTATTTGTGTAAATTTTTTTTCCAACATCATTACTAACGTTGGTAGACGTTGGGTAGAACAGAGTAATTTAGCTAAAATTTCTTGTTAAAATTTCCCATAACAGTGGTTTTGTACATCTTGAAAATAAATTTGTGTCATTATCGTAATTAACTGTACTTTTCTTTGTTTGTGTATCACTCTTTTATGAATGAGGATAATGAAATAATTATATCTGAGCTATGTGTATTTTTTGGGTAATTCGCTATTTCACATTTTCGCTTTTTGTTACGTTTTTTATGCTTCCCAAAAAACGCAGTGCTTTGTGATCGGATGCCTCTTACAAAAACTTGTAGAATTATTTACAACACATTACTTTTCCGTTATTCAACAATTCAGCAATCAATTTTCTTTCTAGCTTTACCCAAAGCGGAATGGCAAGTTATTGACATAAAATGAGTGATAAAATAAAAAGTTTCCCAAGACGTGGTATTATTCCAGTCAAGAGGCGAAACGATAAAAAATAATTACGGTAATTTTTTATCGTTTGAAAGGGCTTTTTCTTTCGTTCACAACCACGGTTTCTCTATATCGTTGGCTCAAACCTAATTACATTGGGGTTACCGCTCAAAAATAAGTTCGCACTTACTTTGCTTATATTAAACTGAATATTGATTTTCATTTTATGCCTAAACCCTGCACCGGAATTTTGAATCAAAATTGACACGAAAAAGTAAATTTACTCATTAAAGGAAATACTGTGCTTTCACGGCCGGTTAAATCAAATTTAGAAATGTTTTTCGGGATTTGAAGCCGTGGTCCATGTGAATTTCTTCCTGCTATTTCGTCCACAACTGCGGTGGATATTATCAAAGACGATGAGGCAGTGGGAAAAGTGATCTTTCGTGCTTTCTCACTAAGACTGGTTTAACTACTTTTTTTAAAATTTGAACATATTTGTTTTCAAACAAGGATTACACATTCTTATTGCTACTTAATATACGGGTACGGTTCAACTACTGGATCCCCTGTTGTATTTATGCGTCCCGGCCGTGTGAGCTCATGCGTGAGGAGAGGGCGGGGCTTTAATTGTTTTGGCACATACGCAGTTTGCTGCAAAACGTGTTTCCAATCCGGGTTTAAGGCCGTTACCTTTTCTTTCCTATTAAAATTGTTCATGTTTAAAGATCTCAATGGCCTCTCTGGTTAGCCTCGGGTAATACCGTTGAGATTAGTGCAAAATGTCCACTTCATCGAAACGCATTTGGTGGCCGTTTAGAAGTGCGTGCTCCGCTACTAATAATTTTTCTTTTTGTCCTAATCTGCAACTTTTTTTATGCTCAGTGATCCTATTGTTTACACTACGTTTTGTGGTGCCGAACATTTGAAAAATGATTTCCACAGACATAATTGAAATACTTTTTTCTCGTCTGTATTAAAATGGCAGATTTTTCCCGCAATTGTAGTGTTGCAATGCAAGTGTTGTTATAGAAAGTTCGTATCGTTCAGGCCTTAGGAAACTGGTTTCCAAAAAAGTTTAATAAAATGATGGCTGGTCATTCATTCTGTTGCTGATGCAATTTTTTTCTCGTAAGGCCCACTTCTTCCAAAATGAAATAGCTCTACTGTATTCCTGTTTGATTTTTTTAAGCTTGAAGCATGGACTGCGGCTGTGGGAATTTGTATTCTTAACCTTTGTTCGAATAAGGCTCTTAAAAATTTATTGAAGAAATTAACAAATCCAGGGTTTGCAAGTTGGTACTACAGCCATGAATAAAAAATATTAAACCGTAGAAGCCTAACGAGCTTTTTCTTTAGCAAAAAAATTCTCACTTCTTAGCAAGTAGCGCTATCAATTCAAGACTATCCAGTATGTAGTGGATTTTTCGAAATCAGATTGAAAATAAATCAATAAAAATAATTAGGTAATTGAAAACAAACCTGACTATTTTAAGTATTTTCCAGTCACGTTGGTGGATCGACCAGAAATACGTATGTTAAAAATAATCGGCTGACGTGCACATCTGGTCGAACTAAATACAATTATTATAAATAGATCAACTCCGGCGGGGTTAAAACAGCAAAAACTTGCATACTATTTACTGCCGTGCCAAAGGGCACATTTTTTAAATCATAAAACAAATTATTTACACTTTTACGACGTAATAATAATACGATATTTCAGATAATTCTGCTGTCAGGTTGTATCCTTTCTACTATAATATTCGGCCAGTGCAAAAGATGTCATATGCATATTCTGAAAAACAAAAATTGTTTGCACATGAGAAAATTATATCTTTTGTTTTTGGGTTTGGTTGTTTTGCCTTGTTCAATATACAGGGTGTCCCGTAAGCACATTATTAAAATGGTATTGCTATAGTTTTCGTATCAAAAAAGACGATCTGACCTAACTTTTGCTAAGAAAAGATGTTTGGAGCCTCTGCTGCTAATGGTCAAAATTAGGCGAACGATTCACTGGACCTTAATAAAAGGGGGAAGTTTAATAAAATTGAATTTCAATTTGTGCTTATATTTTAAGGACGCAACTGAGTTCAGCAGCTTTAGGCAAGTGAGGAATTATTGAGCGTCTTGGTACAAAAACTACCCGACTTTTTATTTGGTGGCTGGAATTAACTGGTTTTTAATAATATATGACTAATATTGACTATCATTCTGGTAATAAGAAACCATAGTCAATAATTTTTCAATATCTTTTTTGAAATACTTTTATTGCTTTTGATAAGCAATCATGAGTAAGTAGTCCATGATACCCAGGTGCAGTTCAAGTATGTATTGAATAATTTAAAAACTTCTTATCATCTGCATTGTGTGCATCAATACATTAAATATAAAAGGAAGGGAATACACATACAATTGACAATTTAAAATCTAGTGGACGTGAACAGCTATGCTCAAACTAATCGTTGCTTGTTTGTTACTGGGTAAGCTATTTTACGAATATTTTGTACATACATCAGCTTCATTGTTTCACATTTAATGTAACCTGTTGCAAAATTTGCGAAAGGTTTGCTCAAAACTTTACCTCATATTCTTGCATAGTGTTGAATAGTTCTTTATATATTTATTGTCTACTCCAACTTGCCTCAGCTCCAAAGTTGTCGGTATTCGAAAAGAAGTATTGAAAATTATCATTGTATTAATATTTTTTACGTAATGAAACTCTAATTAAGAAACTTTGTATTGGGGTTTTTGAAGGACAGCAAATCCGGATCTGATCAACTTGCATTAAAAAATATTAATTTTTTTGCCTCCCACTTCATGAGATGACCTATATGCTATTTGCTTATGAATTTTCTCAACAAAATGCCCCAAAGCTCTCTTGGAAGGAATTTCAAATGCATCAGACTCTCGCTACAGAATTAACAGAATATTTTGAGAAGCAAGCGTGAGCAAGTTTCAGCAGGAGTTGGAAAAGGTCTAGGCTGGATACCCGATGTTTATACTTGGGCTGTTAAAGAACCTTTCAACCGTGATTCAATGGAGACACTTCCTCCTTAAACCTTCAGAACCGGTTTACTAGATGTAACTTCCACTGATCCATCGTCAGTTTTCACAAAGACAAATTTTCCGGTGGGTTCATGGTATGGTAATTGGCCGTTACGTTCATCTCTGGATTAATTTTAGTGGAGAATCTTAAAATGGATTGCTCAAGATCATTCTGTAGAGGCTGATAAATACTTTTAAACAAAAAGTAAGCTTTGCTGTAAACATCAGTCGAATGTTTGTTCTTGCTTTGAGTGCTTTGAGGAGAGTTGCTATGAGAGAGGTTTTGTTCTTTGCATTAATTTTTCGTGCGTTTATGTATAGCTTTTATACAAAAAATGTATACAATTTAAGTGAAATTCTCTGAATCCTACATAACAACTACGGTAAGCGAACTTTTCAATTCGAGGTTTTGATAAAATCTTGTTTTCTTAAGTGTCTGTTCGCAAACACACAACACATTCATCAATTGACGGCAGGCAGTTTGGTTAAATATAATAAAAAAGAGTCAGTTTGGTTGATGGTTTAACCAAACTGACCTCCTCCCTGACTCACCTTGTTGTTAAAATTGTAGAAATATTGATGATTCTGTTCTTCATCTCACTTTTCTTAATTTGTATCAAGACACGCGATTAATTATTGAATTCATAGAAGCCAATCAATTAATAGAATTTACAGCTATCAAAATTAAGAATGGAACATAGATGGGAACAAATCGAATCCATATTAAGATAGTTCTTGTAATTTTGTAGAAATTTGTACAATTTTTATAACTCACGTTAAATTTGCCTGCATTTGATAAAAATAATCCGAAAATGTGAAGAGTTTTGCTAATGGTTGTGAGTTATGTGACCTGCAAATATTTTCAAAATTGCACATTCAGATAAAGCTACCAATCAATTCTATTCGAAAATATATATTTTTTGTTGATATATTTTTGTAGTTGTTCTATTTTGTTCACGTATTTCTGCGATCCTCCGAGTTGTTAAAATAGCTGAAAACAAACCTAATTGTACGAAGAATAATATAAACAAAAATGAATGCAAGAAAAAAATATGAAAATAATTTTAATTGCAAAATACATATAACCCTAATGGCATTAATTATTTGGCTAACTGCTTTCAGTGCAACTTATACTTCATAATGGCTATTTAAAAATAGAATAATTGCAACCACTTTATCGAAATGGCTTTAACCCTGTCCATGATATGCACAAATTAATTTTTGTAATGAGTATGTAAATGTAAGTGCGTAAAGTATATAAGTCTGATTATTAGTCTATATACTTCAATACCTCCCATAGTCTTCGTTCATGTATCGATTTGAGTTTCACATATCTGAGTAAATAAACAGGTTTTTTGCCTGGTATATGGGTCCTAGGGGATTATTAATTTCCGGATTAAAATCACAGAGTTTTGCCTCTGCAGTATATTCTAGTTAATAGCATACCATTTCGTCAAACACAAATAATTTGTTTGTTAATGAGCGATAAAATTCTTGTATATTGCAGCTCTTGCAGCTACAGTAACTGAAGGAAAAGTATACACTCAATGTGAAGTTGCCTCCGCTCTAAGAGCTAAGGGAGTGCCAGAGGACCAAGTAGCTACCTGGGTCTGTATAGCACATGCAGAGTCTGATTTTGATACTACTGCAATAAATAGCAATACTTGGGACTATGGAATCTTCCAGATTAGTTCCATATATTGGTGCGAATCTGGTGACTCTGCAGGTCGGTTTTACTGAGGTTCTAATTTACTGCCTCCCCAGCAACTTCATAAGTCTGGAAGGATATTTGAATAATTTTCAGGCAATGGCTGTGGAATAAGTTGTAATAGTTTGCTTGCTGACGATATTTCCGAAGACATTGATTGCGTTCAACGGGTTTATGCAGAAACAGAAGCAATTGGTCAAGTCCCTGGATTTAAGGCTTGGACTACATATGCTGGAAACTGCGATGGTGACAACAGTGCCTGGATTGCCGGATGTTAAAATTTCATCGTTTTTACTGATACTGTGTTTTCAAATTAAATTATCTGCAGTAATAAATATTTGTTTAACTTGAAAATTATTTTAGTGTTGCGTGTTTTAGTATTTCTAACACTTGAAATAGAAAAGAAGCTTCTATACTCTACACTTTTTTAAGCAAAGAAGCCCTGAAGAAAATTTGCTAGGAACATTAATATTAAATAAAGAGAAAAAATTTCATTGACTACAAAAATATAATTGAAAACGTGGTGGTCAATAAACTTCGAAATAGTTTATTTCCGATTCTTATATGTATTACTTATAATTGGTAAAATTTAAAAACCATGTCCATTTTTTAATCAATTTGGATTTTTTGATAAATAGAGCCACAGTGTAGTTGTGGTTATTTATTTTGTCGATATGTTATTTTACTATAAACAAACTGGAACACGAATTATTATGAATTTAGCAAATTTTCAGGAAATTAATTTTCAGGAAATTGGGGTCCCCGAACCACATTCCATTCCACATCCACATTTGCTCTCATTATATACTTATTCAAAAAATTTCCATAGTTTCTCGAGCTGTAATTTTGGCTTCACAAACTCGGGCGCTTTATTTCGCCCGGCACATCGTAAAGAGGTCAAAAAAATTAAAATATTTGAAATTCGTCTACATAAACAATTTTCGGCAGCTCTTGTTAAAGTGAAAATTATCTCTCACGAGTCACATCTTTTCTTCATACTTTTGATTGCAAGTAGAAACTTATAAACTGATGAACCCACAAAACCGATATCCTGCTCAAGTAAAACAATTCGTAATAAAACTTTTGGTGCTTATTATATTAATCAAATTTACATTACTTACTTCTCGGAATGAATAACACACTTTATTTTCGCTGTACTAAAATAATTGAAAAGGTTTCTCTGGAATCACTAAGTTTAATTTTGGTAAAAGCGTGAAAGAAAAGCGGTAATCAACTGAGGAATAAGATCCGCGTAGTAAATCAGTTTGGCTGCACTTTTGGAATTCTTAATAAGAAACTCGTTTATCTGGAGTTTTCAACGAAGGGATGAAACTGCCGACTCTATTTTAGTTGTAGATGCTACGGGACGTTACCCGGGAAAATAAACTAGAAACTTGAGGACTGGAGCGGCATTTTGTTACGTTTGCAAAGCAACGAACGCAACGTAGCCCGTCTATAACAGTCTACGAAACAAATTTGGATTTATGCCGTCACTTTTTCTAACTTTGCCGTTAATTTAAATAATAAATACATCGACATGGTTTATTTCCAACATTATACTTATGATGTATACTATTTATACATAACAAATATTATTTAAAGGAAGCAATATTACGTTCACAAAGTACATCGTTGCTACTTTATACCATATTTCACACATATTCTCTACCTCTGGATGGCGTAAATTCAGACTTGTAGCAGACATTTCGATTTGAATATCAAATAGAAACATAATAAGCTGCTGAATTTTTGCCGAATAAAGCCGCGATACAGACAGCGCATTGTATTTGATGGGTTTATCGCAATTTTATTCATACAAAAAACCAAGAATGTTTAATATAAGCATATATGTAAGTGTGTAGAAATATGATTGATAGAAGAACAAAAAAGCAGAAATAAAAGCTAAGCGGCCTTACCATTTGATTCCTCTTTAAATAAAAGAATTATTATTTATTTGATGATTGTGGCCACCGCGCTGTTCACACAGTCACTTACAATAAAATATTATAAACACATATAATTCCACAGGAATGAACCCGAAAGGAACTCAATTGAAAAACAGAAAAATTACAAAAATGTCTTTTTTATTGCCAAAATATTTAGACTTATTTTACGAAACAAAAGCGATTATCTTCACATTTGTACGTGGTAAGTTCGACATAATGTGCGAGCTTAAACCTTGGGGTGAAATACTTCGGCATCAAACTTCCATAAAAGCTCATTCTTATGAGATTCAAAGATATTTTGTGCGCTGAAGCATGGTTTGATAAACTATAATACTTGATTTATCAATAAATAGCATGCTGAAAATTGGGTCTGATAATCATCTTCATTAGTAAGGTGAGCACGTTTCCCTAAGTCTAAAATTTTTCTGTACTAAGATATAATTTTCTTTGAATTGAAGGAAAGACAAAGTCTTTTTTATACCATTTAAGCTTCTCACAACACCAACGTATTTCCTACAGCGTGATAGTGATTTTTACTGTTTCTGTAACTTAGATGGTAATAAACCTTTAAACCCGTCTGGAGGTGAAGCGCTGGTTATTCATTTGAGTTACTGGATTAGAAAAACCGCGATTTTTAAACACCTTCAAGTGTATTAGAAGTTTAAGAAAAACTTTACATATTTTTCTAGATAAGACAATATTCCAAACAAGTTGATTATTTGAATGAATTCATAAATGATGATTAAAAAATGAGAAAACTGAAATCACTTCAACAAAAGTAGAAATTATCAAAGTCATTTCAAAAGAACTCTCTCTAAAATCGATCTCATTAATAATTGGGCACTGGCACATTACGATGTTTTTGGTACTTGAAGTTATCAAATCGAATGTTTGTACATTAATAGGATTAATATAAAGTTCAGACAGACGGAAGGATCTAAAGTGCATTAAAAGGCACAAATTTTCGGACAATTCTTTTATAAAAATCTATAGAATTAGTTAGGTCAATGTACAAGAAGGAGCAGCGTCTGGAAAAAGAACCCAAATAAAAATCAAACGCGAGGAATATTGAGAAATAAGAGCAACAAGCAAAAGTATGCAAAGAAAAGAGAAATATAGACAAAATATAAAAGTGATAATTAAACAAGTTGGTAAGAAAGAAAAACAAAAGCGATGCGAATGTGATAGTGGAAAGAAACGTGGACGAATAGTTAAATGTGTGTTATTCTCAAGTACTTATAATTGCATTTTAGCGCAAGTGAGAAATAATTGTAAACGTTGAGTAAATTGATTAGAAGCAAACTAAAGACTTGTGTACTTTTGCAAAACAATTGCAATAAATAATTTTTTTTTTCAAAATCTGAAAGTTGCGATCTATCTGTTCAATGATATAAATTAATGTTTTCCACTGGTAGTCTTAAGTCTCCCTCTCTATAAAGCTTTTCTTCTCTCTATAAAGGAAATATTCTATTTCCATAGCCTGCGGTCAAAACTAAGGCTCCTTTCCTTAACTCCAAACTTTGAATAAATATTGGCTTTTACTTTACCAACAGCCAACAGTTCACATTAATTTGTGGTTTGTCCTGATTTTTCTTTGACCAAAACAATGCAAGTATTTTACTATAAACAATAAAGAAATTTAAATTCTGAATTCAAGCTGAAATCGATAATTAAGTGTATTATTTTGTGGCTCAGTGTTAAGTTTCTTCACTCAGTGCAAGCTTGGAGGAGGCTTATCGGTGTCCCTCATTTTGACTATTGCTGTTGAGAATGCTCTTCTATCAAGTTTGCCATAAGTTTGAATTTTGTGATGATGAACTTTGGAAGATTCTGTCAAAAATTAAATTTGATATTCAGTTATAACTCTGTTAATTTACAACTTGAATTTTTACAAGCAAATAACGCAAATCGAGTATTTATAGGGATTGTTTTGTACAATCAAGTGAATCATGTAGTCGATTAGAAAAACGCAAATAGGTATTTTGGCCGAAAACGCCAATTTACCAGAAATCCTAATTGCGTAAATTTAATTAAGCAATGTTCAGTCAAACATTTTTTTGTCTAATGCAAATTGGCTACTAAGTTTCTATTTAAGGTTATACAGTTCGCTCAAGAATCGGAAAAAAATGTGTGTATATCCTTTTTATACACGAATTGGAATGTTGAAAACAATTCAAAGATGCTGAAAGATTCAAAGAAACTTTTCTGTTGTATACGAGATTCTGCATTAATTACAACATTATTTTTATAGAATACTTGAACTGTTTATTTTGGTTTTCTCACTAGTTCCAGCTCATTAAAATATATATTTAATCTACTAAGATTGCAGCTTCTGCTTTTAATTTTATATAAACTTCTCCGGCTTACTGATAAAAGCTGCCTGTAAAAAAGTGATAAATATTAGACTGGACTAGAATATTTAGAATAGTTCGAGAAGGTAGAAGACCAAATATCGAACAAACCAGCAAAACTAGAAGACGCTTCTTGATTTGATGCGAATGCGCTCATTCTCTTTTGCGCCGCTCATTTTCATCAGAAATTTGTGCTAGCTGTGCTCTAGCATTAATTTAAAATTATTACAAATTTTTCATTAATTATAATAATAGTTGAATTAATTTAAAATTCATTATTTAAATTAGTATTTCGTTCTTCTTCTAATTCTTTATATTTTTACCCAGATAGCAACAGTTTTTTCTTGTTTTGTACAAATAATGAAACACTCTATATTCACAGCGCCTATCAGGAAACATATTTCACTTTTCAGAAGTTCTGAAACTTTTTATTATTTACTCCACGGCAGTGGTATCTCAAAGGAGCGTTTTCCTTCGGTATCATGTAATTAGGCAAACTTTCGGAATATCTGAACCCAGCCGGCAGCAATAACTTAACCAAAATATACGGTTCACTTTAAAGTTCTAATTTGTGGAAATATGTAGGTATTTATATGCAAAAATTTTAAATTTTCCACGTTTCTTTTAATTCAGTTTAAATGAACTGTGAAGCAATCTATTTGCATTAAAATTGCATTTAGAGTTACCCTTCCCTACGCAATCGATCGACAATAATCAGTGGCACTGAAGGCTGATGATCGTTCGAATTAAATTTATCTTCCACAACTCCCGTCAGAGATGTGCGATTTTCCACTGGTTTGAAGCTGGTATGAAGACTAAAATTACATTTAAAATGGCTTCGTCACTTTTGCAATCTATCAGCAATTAGTTGACTGTAAATGCGTAAAGATAATGCGAATCGAGTGCGATTTATATCTTCCAAGAATCACGGTTAACGAATGCGTTTATTTTATTCGGCCAATATTTCTTTTTTAATTCATCAAAATATTTCTGAGAATTTATACTGTTTTGAAGCAACATATGCCACTCTAAAGTATCAAGTAGTAGAGAACCGGGAGTTTTAGGATCTTCTTGAAAAGCTGTGAAGGCTTTTGTACAGTTTCTTACATCTTTTGTTAACTTTTCCTGAATAAAATATGCTGGAAAAGTATTTTTTAACTTCAACGTCGAGGTAATTAATTAGAATGTCGATCCAATCTAAAGTCTATTTTGAATTGATTTGAAAATATTCTGATCAGGCATAACCTATTTACCAAAAATCCGTCAACAGCCAAATCGAATGTCTCCTTTAGGTCGACTATGCTTGTCTAGTACAAGATTATATTTTTTTTAACAAAACCGCACTGGAATGCTTTGTGTACAGCAATGTCTACACACCTTCAAACAGGGAAAATTATTCTAGTCCCTAATTAAAAAATTAAAGATTGGGATTGGAATTGAGTGGGAGTGAAATCCAGTGTCATCCAAGTGTTAAATTTTCCAATATTTTACACTCCTCTGTCTTTCCAAGTATATAGAAAAAAACACACTTTTCATAAAAATTTGTCGATTTAGACGTGGAAAATTCATTTTCTGCTAAACTTTCTAATCAAGCTTCGAAAAGCACACATAAAAAATAATTTAATTATCCTGCAGCTTCAATAGATTAATTAAAAATTTGTTAATCCAATTTTTAAGAAGTTCGTTATAGACTTCTATGCTTTGTGCTTGAATGATTCCGCACTTAAAGCACAACAGCGAAGAATTGAACGGTCGACTAAATACTTGCTACTATTGCAACTACCAAAAAGACAATATCTAATAAACTAACGGTTCAAAGTATCTGTGGAAATCCTCTCGACCAAACTTTATTTTTAGTCTTTTCCTGTCCTTTTCCGTTCCGTCATCTCAATCACTCTTTTGAAGGGAAGCTGATTGATTAGCTGCTTTTCGAGGAAAAGCTTCCTTATGAATGAACACAACTTTATAGAATGAGAATAATAGAAAATGTCGTCCAAAGCGAGGTTAAATTCAATCGATTTAGTTGAACCAACACGGAATATTTTTGTTACAAATCAAGTTATTTTTTCCACCACTTTGGTTGAATAGATAAATAGTTGTACTGGAAATATCCAATAAACTTATGTTTAACGAGTTTTTTAGGTAGACAATATGGTCCATATAGAGGGCGTTTTCCAATTGAGTAGAAAAATTTCAAAGGCGTAGTCCTGAGCTGATTGTATCACTAAAGGGTTCAAAAATGCTTAGTTCCGATCTACAGGATTTTTAAGTTTTCAAAGATTTTGTGGGGTTTAGTGAACATTTTAATAATAATTTCAAAACAGAGGTTTTGAATTTAGTTTGTTAGTGTCATAGTTTAATAACACAGTTGTTTTTATGTGCTATTTATTGTCATTTCATCAAAGGAACTGCTGAAGGACAATCGCAATTCGTGATTAATGGAGGAAGGTATTGAAAAAAGGAGTAGGAAGGTATTGTAAAAAGGTAAGGGGTAGGTAAAGTTAGGAGGTAAATTGTATGTTTCCTGAGCTGTGAGAAATTACTTTTTTTACAGGGCCGTCTCGCTTTTATTTTAAAAACAATTTTACTCATTTGCTTTATCGTCGCCGCCGACTAATCGCCGAACTCCCTTTGCTCTTCGTAATTAGGACAAATGTTGTACCAATTACTTAAATTAACAATTAAAAGCCATAAAATCTTTCAAACTTTAACACCTTGTAGATCGCAAACGATAGCGATAAAATGAACTTAGGAATACGCCCATAAAAGTTTGTACTCAATTAGAAGACACGTATATGGTCTTAATACAAGGAAACGTTGTTGTTTAACAGTATTTCTCAAATTGCTCATTAAATATTCAAATATTCATTAATCATTATCAACATCTTAAAAATTGCTTTAGCCAGTGGGCAGATGCCCTTTTGGTGACTTTACTGAAAACATACATTTTAGCGAAAAATGTTGGCTATAGTAGTTCTATTCTTTGCAGTGTATCGATTTTCTTAAGTAGGCAGGCCATGGATAAAACGTTTCCTTCCGATCGAACAATTTGAAAATTAATTGTGAAAATAATTTCTAACTATTTGGAAACAGCCTGAGGGTGCTTCATTCTGCTGGAACCATATGGAACTTGTCGATATATTGGGTTCCTCACCATTGGCATAAAATACAGTTAAACAGGGTATTCTCAAAACTTTGCAGTTTAAGTGTTTTTTCAATAAGAAAGTGTCTATAAAGGAATTGTTTAAGCTTTTTCGTGTACACCAATGGGTTTTTTTCTGGTACTCAATATTGACAATTTGACATGTTTGCTGAGGTGTTTAAAGTAAATATTGCCGAGTCGGTTGAAGCTATAAACCTAGCTTAAAAATCGCGGAGTGTTGTGCATGTGTGCCATTTGTTTAAGGGTAAATATTTTAGAACTGTAAACATGATGAGGCAAAAATGAGAGCCCGTAAAAAGAGCGATTGAGAATAATCAAAAGAAAAAGCTGAAAATGGAGAAAAAAGAAAAATAAACGGACAAGTCGTTCATAATACTTAATCTAGTCGTTCATAATGCTTTTCCTTGCTGGAAATAGCTGAACTTTGGTTTTCTTGGAATAAAATACTGCATTTATTTTTTCAAAGGACCGGACCACCAAAATGGTTTAAAGCGTATTATATTTAAGCGGAAAACGTAGACAATTTGGCATTTCGGTAAAAGACCCCCAAACGAGCTACAAGGTACATTAACAGCTTTCGATAAAACGCTGTATATTAAAGTAATTATCTTTTAAAAAATTGAGCCGAAAAATCAAAAGGAGGTCAATTAATCAGGAGCTAGTAAGTGGGGGTTAACCATAGAACGGTGTAATTATTTTTTATATTTCGATCTCTTACCTATTGGAAAGCATCAGATTTATTGTCCTCTGGTCCCGTTCGCTCCTCACACTCACTAAATGTCCTCCACGTTTCATGCACTCACTCTCCGCCTGAGTCCAGGACAGTTTGAAAGTATCGACCACCGTAACACAAAATTGACGCATTGCCACCCATCCGAACTCGCACAACCCCACAATTGCTTCAACAGGTTCAGCCCGATAGGACATTCTCAACTTTAACAAGCTCTGCGACGTTTCGGACTCTTGAACCACCTTCAAGACTATTTTGTTCTCTTTCGAGAGAATATCGATTTGCCGCTCCTGGTCGCCCTTTTTTGTGCACCGTCTCCAATGGGCGTCACCATCATGGATCTCGGTTAGTAGGCCGTCGCATGGGCTGATTCCATTTTTTAGGTCTTGGAAGTTGAGCAAAGTGTCCGTTTTTTCTTAAAACAAAACACGTATCTAAGTCAGCAGCCTGATAAAGTGCGCCAATTAATTTACTAAGTTTAATTTCAGTAATAAAAAAGCTGTTTCAATAAGCTGAGTGCTTATAGCAACACTTTGCCTGAACACGGAAAAGCTCAATAACAGCCCACTTAGAGAATGTCAAAGTTCAAACATTTCCAATAAAATAGGGCAATTGTTTGTTAGTAGTTCATGAGAATGTACAACTTTCGTTGAATTTTCATTAGGGGAATATCGCATGGTTGAGTTGGAAAGGGCTTGATTTTTGTGAATTTCTGCTTTTAGTGTGAGCATTTACTGAATTACATTTTGCAATTTCCAACGTGCCTGTCTGGGCTTGATGGGGCCTACATCAAGCAGCAGATTACTATGAAATTTAGTAAAAGATGCCGCAACTTCAGAGACGGGCTAATTAAATCAGCGAAAGGTAATTTAATTTGGATGGGATCTGGAAGAGGCTGAATTTTACTTTATATTCCGATACCCATTCGTATCACATGGCAAGGAAAATATGCAAGTTTCAAGAACTTCAACTGGATAAGGTTGTCTTCAACTATTCGAACAGCTTACCGATAGTTGGAAAAGCATAAATATTCAGCAAGATCCCGAAAAGTGAGTTTCTAGATTTAAATGAACATTTTTCAATTTCCTTAACTTTTAGTTCTCGGCAGATCTTTAAAAAATAGTGTACCTTTTGCAGCACTGTCGCCAATTTGCAATTTGAGTGCAACCCTATTCCCATAGGGCATGTATATCCTGAACGTGCACTGGAGCCGGTTCGTCGGCTTCAGTTCTACTTCCCCAACACGGTTAATGAAAGTGATGTTATAGCAGTAGTCCACTAGACGGTACAAAATGGAAAAAGTGGGATTTCCGTGCACATGCATAAAAGGTTGCGATTTGCTGGTTTCTGGAAAGTAAATGTTCCGTTCTGGCTCGGCTAGCTCCTCTAATTTACCTGAAACAGAATTTAAAATTGAATCACCTATAACACCAAACGTTTGGTAAAAAAATCTAAACTGGAGTAAACATGAAAACCAGTGTTATACCAAATGAACCTTTATAAACAATGGAAACTGTTAGAATAAGACTATAATCAAAATGCTTTTAATATTATTAATATAAGTTCACCAATATATATTATGGACCCCAGTGTACCACAAAGCCATATTGCTTAGGCAGCAAACTTTTTTGTTTATCGCGAGTCGTCGTCAAATCGCTGCTGATACAGAATCGTTCTCGTGTTCGGAAATCTACTTTTGTACTGTGTTGTTCTTTATCATTTATCAATGTACTTTTATTCATACATTAAGAGTGTGTCCACTTTATTTCACCAACGGGTTATGGGCCCAGGACACCAAACACTCTAGAAATTGTGTAGACATTTCAGTAGTGCGTGAGTAAAGTGAGAACTGTTGAAGAATAATCGAAGTGCAAAATGGCGTCAGTGTCAGCAAAATCATCAGAGTTAGTAAAGTTCGACGGCACAAATTTTCAGCTATGGAAATTTAGCGTGTGCATCGTATTGAAAGCGGAAAAGCTCTTGGGCATCGTGGATGGAAGTGTCCCCCAACCACAAGATTCAGCGCTTGCTGAATTGGCAAAAAGGGAAGAAAATAATTCAAAAGCGCAAGTAATTCTACTTACCACCATTTCTCCAAACCAACTAGAATGTCTGGTAAATTGTGAAAATGCACATGAAATGTGGCAAAAACTCTTAGCAGTCCATGAGCAGAAGACCGAAGTTTCAAAAGAACTACTCTGGCAGAAATTCTATGACTATAGCATGGTAGTTGGCGACTCAATAGCAGCACATCTCTCCAAAATAGAAAGAATGGCCAAAAATTTGCGAGATATAAAAGAGCCCTTGAGTGAGAGTGCAATTTGTTCAAAGGTAATAAACAGCTTGCCTCAAAAGTTTAATGCCTTCAGAA